CATTCCGTGGGCGCAGCCATTTTGTTGTTATGTAAACATTCGCGACGCATGCGCACTTACGAGTACGCGTAAGCAGATAGCTTTCATTTCACCGCACACGGAAAGCATTCTGCCACGAGTGGCGAAATTTATCAAACACAATAGATATTCACCATTTCGCCCCGAGTGACTAAAATCTTGCGTAAAGTTGCGCGCACACGGAAGATATTTGCTTAAGCAAACAGCCACGAATGAATTTTGCCTGAGCTGATAGCTCTCGTGTGCGCCAGGCTTTAGTATCCCACACGAGTTTGTTACTTTTTCCTTTACCTCATTCTGGTTGCTACATGTATTTTGAGTCAGAAAATTGAATACACTTTGGCTCAAAATACAAACATTCTAAATTTTAAAAAATCAAAAACTGTAGTAACATTCAAAGAATGAATATTTTATTTATTGGGAGAGTAGCCACGATGGTTTCGAGTATTTGTAGCAAGGAACAAATTATTTACTGTATTGTTGCAATACCTGTAATACTAGTGAGTGAGTGAGTGAGTGGGTGACAAAATATGTTACATGTATATTGCAGAAAAATTAATGCCTTTTTTAATTCAAATGTAATTACAGGATAAGTTTAGATTAAAAACAAGTTCTAATTGGATTTAGGTGAAAATTCTGAATTTAAATATGCAAAACAAAAATGTTGTAGCCTCTGTGGTTTTCACCAAAGTTGGTTTACAGGTGGTGTCCACATGTACAAGAAGACATTTTAATTAATATTTTCCTGTGTCACCATATTCTTTTGTTAAATATATATTAATTTAATCTTTAAATAAACTTTTGATTGACTATTGATTACGTAAAAAAATGTCTTGAAACTTATACAAAAGTCAATATATGTCTATTTTATGGCAGTTGATATAAACAACTTACAATGTTAAAATCACTAATGCCATGTGTCTAGCCTCAGAGTTACTGTGAATGCATTCATTTTTACTACTGGTAGGTTTATAATTTAGGTATTGTCTCTGAAAAGTGTAATCTTCTAAATTCTAAATGTTCACATGTTAAAATTACAATATTTTAACTGATTGTTTCACCGGAAATCTGTAAATTTAAAACCCAGTGAATATGATAAAAAAAAACAACTTATAATTAATACTAGTGAACATTGATGCTTTTACAGTATTCAAAATGTGGCTAGCTTACAGCATAGATGTAAACAAGCTGCAGGTCCTTTCATGTTAATAGTTTATGCATTATTAATGCACTTGCTATAAACCTTGACCACTGATTGGCATCAAACTACTCAGCTATGAAAAATGTTCAACTATCAACAATATTTGGCTGAATGAAAATTTAGCTCAAAGTTTATTAATTTTATTCTGTATTCCTTAGAATTCAATAAGTACCATGGCATACTCTGATATAAACACTCTGCAACCAAGAACCATAACAGTCTTCTATTTTTCAGTTTAGAAGTATTAATGAGCTGATGAGCTTTTGTAATTCCACATTTCCCTTAGGACTCTTCATTTTATAGGTTTTCGCATTTCAAGGCCAACCACTAATTTCACTGTTAATCACCTGGGACATTATGTCTATTCTAAAAATAATTTACATGTATGTCTGTGATTTGACATAAAATTCATTGGGTGGTTCAACAGGAAATATAATTATTACAATATGCTTATCTTATCCAATATTTTGATGCCATAATTGTTCTACCTAAAATGTTGGTGAATTGACATGCACTTTATTCATTTTTCCCTAATTTCTTGTTAATTTTTGACCAATATGGCACAAATGCTTATCAGCTTTAATTTTAAATGTTGACTTTTATTTTTTAATAGATTAATCACAGTCATGATCTAATACATGTATTGCTAGTAAAAGTTGTTTGGCACTGTATTCTAAGTTGGTATTGCGTTTTAGTGATACATTGGGGTTAAACATATACCTTACTCTGTTGATACTCCATAATTGCTTAATTCCCCTGTGTGATCAACTTGACCTATAGTTTTAAACAGGATACATGTATGAAGATGAAATCATGTACTCAAACTGCTCAAAGAAATAGCTTGGCACAAATTCTGTTCTATGCCTTCTATAAGAAACAAAGAAAAATTGCTGATGCCACAACAAAAATAAAATATTGAGTTACATTCTCAGTACAGGGATTCTAATATCAAAACTCATTATATGTATCTGCTTTCTGTACTGTGCAATGTGACATTTGTTTACAACCAACAAGTGACTGATGAATTGTACCTTACAACTGTACATGGGTTCACAATCTACTATGATAAAGTTGCCCATATGTGTTTTTTTGTTAATCATAACACCTATTAATAATAAAAATTGTACTGCTTTTTGTACTGTATACATGTATTCATAACTTGATGAATAATACCAATCTTTAACATTTGGATGCAAACAACTGATTATTACCACCCAGTTTCTCTGTGCATTTAATTTTAACTTGGCATTTGCTCACATTAAAAAATAAATAAATCCAGTTTTGTAATTACTGGTCACAAGTAAATGAGAGTGCAGTATTAATCAGTTTGATGTTTTCAGGGAAAATCACATCAATCTCTCGCATGTCTTCTACAGTTGTGTGTAATTACGCTGTGTACTGAAACTTTTCATTTTTCTTTTTTTTTATTGCACGCGCTGGCAGTGAAGCGCAGACGCACTACTGAGACATCTGAACAAACCAAATGAAACATGAATTGGTTCTATTCTGATATTATTAGGATGGATGATTATTCACTATATATTTATTCATTTGTTTTTTGATGCATATTCCCAGTACTACTAAATAAATCAGTTCTCATCTACTCTTATTAAGATACTAATAATTCAAAATTATTGTTTGCAACGTTTTTGAGATTTATGATTCGCAGCATATTTGGTGAAGCTGAGATTGCTTGGTGACTACAACTAGTTTTGTACGCGCTAATCAATCAATATACTTTATTACCAGTTTTATCAGAATATGTAAAAAAAAATTAATTTGGTTGAAGATTTTGTGTATAAATATGGGTAATTACATATTGATACCCTAGTCATGAAAATACATAATATTATATAAATATCAATGACATCTGAAACAGTGACATTGTTATTTTTGGAACATTCTCATTTTGGAGGGTGGAAAAGGATTAAAAAAATAACACTATACAATGCAATGTAAAGGGTGATTACATGCATGAATAAAATTGTTATTTACTGAGATTTTAACCAATTCATATTTGGGGGATCATTGTAGAGGTTGGATGGTAATTTACAGACAGACAAACATTGCTTGTCTCACTGACATGACTTGAAAAATTGTATAATCACTGGTAATTGAAGTTATCTAATCACATTGTTATCATGTCTGTCTGTAACATTAGATTGAAAAACTTTGAGCTGATGTACACTTAGGCATAATGGATGTTTGCTCATTTTAATGACTCTGTATATGCATTCCGTCTTATTTATATTTGGTAATCAAAAAAGTTTTAGTGTATCGATTCTAGTTTAACAGAAGTGATATGACTACTGAAACAAATATCATTGACTACTTTGAAAATCGAATATACACATTTTTTGAAGGTTTAATTAGCTATGCTAACTTAATTCAAAATTTGTTAGATTGATAAACAATACATATGTTGTGTATTAAGACATATTCAATGTATTATAACCATGAAGTCATTCAAAGGGCAGTGTTGGAGGTAAATATGGAAACAGTAGATTGATGAGTATGCACATAATACAACAGGGATTGCTGATGGGGCTTTTAAAAAAGCATTAAATTAACCTACCTTATAATGGTTTCACTGATGTGTTTGTTGACAGGTATTTTGAGCAGGAACAGTTCCGTGACTTTAACGAAGAGGTCTGTTTTATTAGTCCTGATGTAACACAGTTTATAAAACTCAGTTCCGGTAAGTGTCCTTTTGGTGTTTCTGTTTTTCGTTCACAAGACTTTAGTAATACAATCCGTAGGCTCAACTAGAGTGATTTGCAGTGCTTGTTCAATGAACACGTACCATAGATGTTAGCAACACACACAGGTGCTCTGCATTTTATTCCTCACCACCATCAACTATCAATCATCTCTGCAATGGAAGGTACCATTGATTAATAGGGGTGTTACCACATTCAGTCTATATTCATGATGCTCTATCAACCGTTTAGGCAATAGGCAATATGCATTTCTGAGTTTAAGACATGGGATCGCCTTGATTGGCTTCTTTTATACTGTAGAATAAAGTGAAGCACATTAACTTACTTTTACAACCACTTTTACTCCTTAATGTGTATGTGTTTGAGTAATATGTCACAAAGGTAAAGCAACTTGTTTTCGGTATATTTGGTACTTATCTCAGCTGTAAAGGGTACTTGACAATAGCACAATTCAAACCATACGTTTTTATGTGATCAAAACCATGAGTGTTCAATACATTAACTATTTTAGTGCAAATAACCGATATTCATTGAGCTGAAAATTAGATACAGTGGCGACAGATATCTCACATAAAAATAACTGCCATTGGAATAGATGCCCAGTTTCTATTTATATGTGTACAACATTTTATTTCTTTATTTTGTATCAGGATTTATATCATTTTTCACAAAATGAGTTTATAATTTTATACTATCCCTATAAAACTTGAAGTGCATAAATTATGGGACAATAAATATATATCCTGAATATATATTGTAAATGTAATAAACCAGATATTTGATTATTGTATAAGATCGCTTGAGAGATGTGAATAACCAATAATAATTTAAAAATAGGTTCTGCAATCAGTTCCTCAATATATGAGGCACAATGTAGGTAGATATGGGAACTTTTGAGTATTTTGTATCTTGGACATGCCTGGACTAATCATGTTGTCACTTCACACATATCTTTAAATTATAGGATACAATTGCATGATTATTTGTTTTGTGATCAAATTCAAGATGGCCAATTGGTGGTCATTTTAATGCAAATAATTCATCAAAATCATTCCAGAACCAGGTCTCTGTTGGTATAACATGGAGAGCATGTTCTCTTCAGTTATTTTTGGATTTTGATGTAATATGACCGTTTGGAGACCATTTTCGTCAAAGAAAACCTTAAATCTCCAAATTTTAACATGTCATCAACTGACATGTCACATTTTTCTGATGCATCTTAACTGAATCTGTTCAATGTAAGCATTAAGACAAGACATTGTTATATTCATATGTACGTTGATCTCACTTTTGCTTTCCAAAACATCAAAAAACAACATTTCAACATGTCAACCATTTTCAATACATGCCTGGGCTGATGTTATTCAAACTTCACACATACATGTACATCTTGGGATACCTTTGCATGTCAATACATTTCACGATCTGATTCAAGATGGCCGAATGGCAGCCATCTTCATGTGAAAATTCATCAAAATCACGCACTTCTGCCATGTACATTGCTATATGTTCAAAAAGTTAGAAAATAATATACTTAGTGTTTTCCCCTATCACAAACGTATTCTGTAAACAAGCTTTTGGGAAATGAATTAAAAAATCACATGGTGTCTAACATTTTATTTAGTAAGTACCGGTATATGTGATTGACTGGAGTATGCAGTATTTAGTAATAATCACAACATGAAGATGGTTAATTTAAAAAGAATTCTGTCACTTTGAGGAAAAATAACACTTTTGCTTCATAAATTACAGAAATTGGTAATTTACTACAATTTCAATTGCATGCATTTGTATGAATCCCTTGTACACAATATATGATAGTGTATTTTAAATACCATCCTACAAATGGTTTTGTTATGATTCTACCTTGTAGAAATTCATTAACTAGTCAGAGAATAGAAACTGTAATTATCAATATGTTTATGTTGTGTAATGCTTTATATGTGCACTCTTTCACATTATACCTTTGTACTGATTGCTTCCAACAAAGGTTTTTCAACTACTTTTTGAAGCAATGCAAGAATACTCTCTGACATTTGTAAATCTTGCCACTGGCTAGTGCTTTCATCATTCACTTTCAAATACCATGCATGATTAAATTCAATTCCTGTTCCTATGCACATATTTTTTTATCATATTTGATAAATTAACCTCAAAGTAAATATGCTATTATATGCATATTATAAATCATTGTTATTGTAATAATGAGTTGCATAACCGCTTTGTGCATTATATATAAATAGAACAGGTTTTACATAGATGCATAAATAAAAACAGATGAGGTAGTATGATGTAATATTAGTATAATGATGAATATAATCATGATGAATAATTCATAACAAATAATCATGGTTTTCATGTAATTATACATTATTGTAAAAATCAGTTTTAAATTAATAAATCAGACTAAAACCTGTTGTACATAAAGCTTCAATAGTTAACTCATGATATTGCATATTACCTTAAAGTGATGACTTGATAAAGGATATCTAACTTACAGGCTTAAGTCCCAAACGCTCAAAAATCCAGGATAAAGAAAAAAGGAATGTAACCCTCTGGACATATGGTTCCTTAACCACAAATCCATACCCAACTGCTGTCCCTCTTCAAATTGTATAAATCACATTTAATACTGGTGTGCATCATACATTATGCTTTAACTAGTTATGAATCACATTAAACCAGTCATGCAATATGCTAATAAAACCAGTTATACATCATGCTAAAACTGGTTATGCATCATTCATCATGTCAATACCAGTTATGCTGTAATATGTGTCATGTTGTAAACTGGAGAACATGTATGTATAAGTTGTCTGAATTCATAATTTTACATCTTGATTATAGATGCATGTATTTTAGTAGCATGTTCACAGCAGTTTACTTGATTGCGATGACAATTGTCACACATTTATCAGCTAACAATCATGTGTCAGCTGATTTGCGCAATTCAGATTAATAGCTGAATTCAGTTTGACATTTACATTGTTATTCACATAAATTTGTTGTGCACATACATGTACATATGTAGTGTAAAATCTCATCAGATTTTGTGATTGAATGAGTTGTTGCATGTAGGATTGGATTAGCTATTTATGTAATCAATCCTACAAGTTTGTTTCTAAACATTGTGATATTAAAAATTTTGCATACATGACACTATACATATATCATGTACATGTGTGAAGCTTTTTCAGCCTCTAAAAATGTCCTGTTACACTCACTATTTTATTGAATGAATACTGTCTATTTTCTGAGCTGCAAAAACAATTTATTTCATGATAGCTATTTATCAACTAAAATCATTTTGTCGGTATATGATGTGTAAATTCTAGTATTGAAACGTAAAACTAATATCATATTCGAGGCTCCAGATGTTGTGAAGATATTTTGCAAATCACATGGATTGAACTTGGGTGTACAGTAATTCAATATGTTTTTGAATATACTTTAATACAATATCCTAGCTTTGTTAATTTTGAAATGTATAAAATTACCCAGGGTGAAATTGTCCGTATAAAAAGTACATGGAGCCTATGGCGCCCCCTTATTTTGTCTAGGAATATAACTGCTAGATTACTGTAACAAATCTGACAAAATGTCCTGATATATCATGTTACAAAGAAGTTAATTACTTAGATGTCAGTAGATTAAGTATTTGGGTGTATTTGAGTTTATTGTTGCCGTCTTGCAAGGGATTGGTTGAAATACAATGTATGGATGATGAATATATTTCTGATGTTTGCACTGTACTGTTTTTGGAATTTAAATTACTCATTGCTGTATGACTCACTGAACACTGACAAAACAATTTAGGTACTCCAAACCAAAGTATGCCCTCTTGTGAAATGTTTATTCAAATTAGATAATTAGAAACTGTGCCCACCAGTAATTTGAAATACGACTTTGCAGATTCACATCCATGTGCAGTGCTGTTGGTTGATGTTAATGTCAACATCACTATTTTGATGATTCTATGTACGCATAATTTGTCACACTCCTGTGCTTATTATTTGTCAATGTCCTGACACTATTTGGTGCTTCTACATTCTTACATTTTGTAATTTATCAGTCTGCTATGTTATTATTTGTGAATGTCATGCTGCCTGTTGGACCCATGCCAACTATACAAAAATACTGATGGGCAATGGTGGTCAAAGCATTCTTATTTTGATAGGGCCTGGATTATTCGTGACAATAGTAATATTAAATCTGGATCTTTCAACAAGTTTACATACTGAGAAATTGAATTAGAGAACATTGTGAGTTCTGCGTGACAACAGATAAAATTTAAGAAAAACATCAGTGTCATGCAGTTAATTACTGCTGTCTATACTAGCACATCATCAACAAGTTCACCAGTATCCGTGTAATGTGTTTTGGTTTATGAATTTGCTTATAATGGCAAAGAATCTGATGTCTATACAGTGAGAAAATCATGAATAGAATCTTGATTACACCTGCAGGCATGTTAAAATTAACACTGCTGCTCAGCATATAGGAATTTAAGTCACAGCCAATGGTTTATTGCTGACATTATACCTCAATTTGCATGTTTTTTTATCATTAGATACATGTACCTCATAAACTTGAACTTAGCTGCCACCTGAAATTGCTAATTCCAATTTATGTACACAATACATTCGATTTGAAAGAAAAAGCTATAAAAAAAATCGGAATATTACAGGGGAATGACATTACACTTTCCTAGGATTACTTTTGTGATTTCTGTTTATACGATGATGGCTTACAGTTTAATCTTGTCATAGATTTCACTCACCAGAGACGATATGGTTGAGCTAAAGCACACTCCAAACTAAGGCTGGTTGATGATCAGTCCATGCACACTAACAATAAAGTAACAAAAGTTCTGTGTGCCTAGCATGTTCTTACGTGTTATCATCTAATCCTGTATTGGTTATTGTTATATGTAGTAATATAAAACTCAGCTACGAGAGCAAGGTCCGTGTCTTCAATCCAAAGGTGCGTTGTT